GACTAGCCAATCAGAGCGCGCCTTCAACGCTATCCACTGTTTTAGTATATACTAATAACCACTATTCCGTAAACGTGTTAGTTGCCATACTCATAACAGTTTATCCCACTTTCCTTCTTCATCAGGCACATTGGACCATCTTTCCAAAATGAGTTTATTCACTACGGCCCAAACCAAAACATTTGGCTTTCATTCCACATTTACTCACTGAGTGAATAAAAAAAAAAAGTTTATCTCTGTTATCAGATCAAGTTTATTGTGGATAATCTCGACCGATATATCGGTCGATATATCAGTCAAGAGTCAAGAGTTTACTTGGTATGGAACTTGATGGAATTATTTTAAAACTGAAAAACTTTTTTAAAGAACGAGACACACCCTTTCCTTTAATTTACACTCAACGGACTTACAGAATTTATTGCACACACTGTACTTCACTGAACTGGACGCTCTTTGATTTACTTCTTTTGAATTCACCTTACTTTATACGAACATATCCTTTTACGACACCGTACAGGCCATCATCACCAGCTGCAATTTATTTAACCTGCCCTTTTTTATAGGGATAACTTACTTGGCCTCAATAATTTTATTAACCAGCGCAATATTTTCATTGCTGGTAATACCACCTATTAGGAAATCAAGGAGGCGGTTATGGCAGTTACTGTAGCCGGTAAATTGCAGACCTAAGCTAATTTAATTTTATTAATATGACTAATCGCTTTACCACCATTTTTATTTTCTGTCGTTACATGGAGGACAGTTTTATGCTAAGTACTCAAGCTCACCTATCCCACATTACAACTAACCTTTGCAGCTCCTACCCCACCTCGATTCCAATAATTCTTGGTGCAACCTCTTCACAATCACTCCCTTCAACATCACAAGGTCCACTATCAAGTATATCAGAAAGCACATCACAAGTACATGTACCCACATTTTCACTGGCATCATCAAAACTGGAACTATACCGTACAGTAGACTTTCTGGGATTTAAGTGGATATTTGTGTTGCATGATTGGTCAATCCAGATAGATCGAAAACAGTAGCACAAAATTCATTTTGATGACTTACTTCACTGTTTAAGTTGTAGTCTGTAGGATTCCCACATGCTGCATTTTCTTT